CTTGGTGCATGAAAGGGGTTTAAGGCAGTGGGATTGCACTGAGCTACAGTACAAAGGAGCAGAGAGTCAGCAGTATCGGCAGGAAGGTCAGGATATGTGCTGTTCCTGTGACAAAACAATTTAGCATTTTGCTGGTTTTCACTCTCTTGAAAGCTGATACTCAGAAATACCCAAGAATAAATGTAAGTGAATAAGCATAATGCTTATTTTTGTAATATAATATTCATACTTCCAGCCATGCCTGGAAGGACACATCAAAAAAAATTAAATGCAGCCACCCACACTATGATATATCAGTCCACAAGTTACCAGAACAACACACACATCCAGGGTATGAGATTAATGAGACTGCTTGCAATTTCATTCTCAATAGGCCCTTTGTTTCAATTAGCTGAAGTAAAAAGACAGCCTTTTCTTTTAAAGCTACAACCCTTACATGAATTTTGAATGTATATGCCACAAATGACATATTGGAAATGGTTAATCTTCTCCTTTTATAAAAAGTGACAATGCATTAAATAACCTACACATATAAATGCAGTCCAACTGAGGTCAATATGATGTTTCACACATTTAAAAATAAGCACGTGCTGAGATGTTCTCATAAAATTTGTTCTGAAATAAACTTCAGCTATGAGTGGTTTGCAGAATTAATTTTGCAGAGATTGGGTTATTTTGCTCCATCAGTGAAAGTTAGCATTGACACAGACATGATTTCTACATTTAGTTGCTGAGAACAAAGATCCAGCTCAGGAACGAAGAAGACAAACTAGAATACATTATTTGTCATCTAATCACAGCACTGAAAGGTGTATGCGGAGACTGACTCAGAGCACACTATATAGCAGCCACCTTACAATGAACAGAGCATATATGAGAAGTGCCAGATTGCCAGTCCTGAAAACTGGCATTCTTGATTCATAAAAAACCAGCTACTAGTTGGCTCAAACTTTGTCTATATCATTCCCACCAACATGCCTAAAGCCTGAGCAGAATTACCTTCCTTTTGGATAAGTAAACCCAAGTCACTTCCTTGTTGAGAAAGTTAATGTGGAGGCCAATTAATTCCATTCGGTTTACAATCCATCTATCTTCCTCTGAGGAGTAACTGCAGGAAATGATAACAGGGAAGTGGTGGTGTCTTTGTCTTTCTAATACGTAATTTTGAATGAGCAAATAATTTCAAAGAAGCAAAGAAATGAACTGAATTTTTCCAGCTGACTATAGGCGAGAGGTTTCATAGACATTTATTAATCTCAGAAGCATCATGCTGGTTTTCATACCTCTGAACTAAGAGAAAAAGAAAGCCATACAGGTTTCTTAATGTGAACGTCTGGCTTGGTCATTCATTATCTATGTAGTTTGATAATTACCTATTTGCTAGGGAAATTGCTTTGGACATCTACTTTGAGGTAGCAGATTAATGAAGTTCTTTGAAAACTTCAGGAACTTGAGAATCTACAAAGCTTCCGGAACAAAATTTTCCAGGTCAGTGGTTACTGTACTTTTAGAAATCCAGAAAACAGCACACATTTGTGCCTCAGCCTGTATAGACTTGTTCAAGACCTTATTCAGAACAACACTTGAATAAATCCTTGAGTCTACTAAATTTAAAGAGCAAAAATAATGAACACTCCGGTAAGCATGAACCTGTGATTTACTATACAGAAGCAATAAAGGATGTTGAAATAGCTGATAACTAGGCTGTCAAGGTCAGTTCAACTAGATAACACCTCTTCTCTTTGGTTGTCTTTAAAGGTTAAGTCGTCAGAGCATTTGTGAGCAATGTGGCAAGCTCCCCAGAGATTAAGTGGATGAGCACCTACGATCTCCCAGCCCAGCCTCACCGGGCTGTGAGACCCAGCACTCCCAGCTGCCAGATCAGTTTCAGCAGCACAAACCACAGTCACTCTAAACTACACATTGCAATATGATTTTCAGAAAACCAATGTTCTCACACAGTGCTATATGATTTTTCTTACACCATCATTCACTCAGCCGGCAGCAGCCTTCACTTGGCAAAGGTTTTGATAACTGTCAGATTTGCTCTTTGCATAACCATCAGGCTTTCAGTCACAGTGCTGGGTGGATGTCTCCTTTTTTATATACATCATTTCTTTTGATCCTGCAAAGGTTCGAACTATTTTCATCCTTCCTCAAAGCTTTATATTGATTTTATCTTGCTGTAATGGCAGAGAAATGTAACAATCCCATCCCTGGAGACCTCAGTCCTGTGCACGCTGGGGAGAAATGCGTTCAGATCATGCTGTGGATGCAGAAAGCCTCCTCACAGTAGCATTCACCGACGTCTGATGGGATTATACAGAGGGAAAAGGGCTGTATGCATGGATTTAGCACATTCCTGAATACTAGGGCTAGCCTGGGTGGAAGGAATGGCAAGATTAACGGCACAAAAGGAGTTTGGTATCAAAGCTACATGCTGCAGGGCTTCACTCTCCTGCACTCGCTAAGCTGGGATCCACCTCACCGCGGCTGGCCAGGCACCAGGCTGTGCCCCTGCACCCTCCCGCCGGGAGCTGGGCTTTGCAAACAGCTCCCCATCTTGAGTGTCATTGGAGCATACGATAGAACAACTTGGGGAGATCATAAAGCAGAAGTTTTTCACTGTTGAATTAAAGTAAGTAGATATGATAGAATTTCAGGTTCAAGCCCATTGAGGATATTAAGCTGAGGGATCAAGGTACTGCAGGAACTTCTTTGCAAGAAGTTACCTTGAAAGACAGAATTTTTGTAATGCTACGAAGACTTTACAATAAACTATGGAAGACTGCTTATAGAAAAAAAATAGAAATCTTTATTGCAAAATCAAGAATTACCAAACTGACTAAAAAGATTCAGATAATGCACAAATTGCTTTACACATTGTGGTATGGCTACAATTATGTCTGAGTTTAACATCAGAGGAAAAGAAACAAAAAAAACCCCACAAGAGACAGACCAAAAAATGCTAAGAAGTTGTATCATTCTAGAATGTAAAAAAAATAAAAATAACCACTTATGATTATATATATAAACCTGTACTTGAAACTGCATCATGAGAAAATATACTAGTGACCATAATAGCTACCACACATTATTACATGCAGGGCAGTGACAGCTTTAACCTTTAGATACAGGTGTTGAAACCTTCACAAGAAATAGACCTCTTCAAAATGTTTAGGATCCTTATTCCCTGTGGTTCTTCAAAACATGTTTTATATTACTCATCTGATGAAGTAACTATCCTGTTAGGATAATCATCATTTAATAGTGGCAGAACCCATAGGATTCCAGTGAATCTATTTATGGATAAGGCCTTTCACATAATAAAAGGCCACTAAGGTTTAACAATAAAGGTGTGACAAAGTGGCTTGTGTGGGAGTTGGAGGCATGAAGCTCTGTGGGCACGAGCAGAGCATGTGGCAGGCACAGTATTGGAACAGTTCGAATCAAAGTACTGTGCAGGCTTGAGGAATAAATCCTGCTACACATCTTTGTCCTTATTTCCCTTTCATTAAGGAAGTGAATATGTTAGGGAAAGTATACTTCTTCAGTTATCCTAACCTTTAAGCCCTGTTGTCAGCCTTACCACAGACTGCCATCTTACTTCTCAGTTTAACTCATGACATTGGTAACTTGATAAGGACTAAGTGAATTTCTCTTCCCTTAAGCTGTCTTCTCAATAGCTTTTCCCCTCTGAGCTAACAGGGCCAGTTCAGTTGGGACTGTTGTCCCCTCCAGGTGTCCTCTATGATATCCACGAACTGGAAACAAGCTCTTGCCAAGCCAGCCTGTTGAACAGCTTGAGGCTAGAATAATTTCACTGTGCACTAACAAGGACTATACATAACACTCCACAGCTCATTATCAAGCTCTATCCTGTACAGTCCCTCAGCTCCACTACATCAGTGTATTTGCATAGGTATAGGAACGTGCATGGTATTTTTCTTTCCTTTTAACATTGCTAAGTACACCTGAACTAACTAACCACATTTTTCCAATAAAACAGTATGGGAGCTTTTCTTGATACTATTTCTGGCCCAGCAGTTGTTCCAGGGACATGTGTTGCTGTTTCTCCACAGGTTACCACAGGCTTTGATTTTCCAAGTCAATGCGTATTTTTTCAGAGAAGGCAGCAGCAGCATTGTTGTTTATATTCTGCAAGCTATATTGAAGACAAAAATAATTTATATAGCAATCAGTTATTTGAAAGCAAATAGCACTCAACAAGCCTAACTCGGATTATACTGGGTGATTTTCTTCCTGTGGTGTTGGCGAGCAAAAAGTACCTCCCACAGTATTTAAATGCCACTTGATTTCTAATGTGAGGACTTAATTCTAGATCAAAGACCTAGTTTTCCAATTTAGATTTTTTAAACAAATCAGCTTTTTTTGTAGCTTATTTGTACAAGTTTGTGTGCAGAGAAAGTCTTACATTCAATTCTTTTGAACCAAAAGCGTATAACGAGTTGCAACACTGCATGACATTTACAGATAGATATTTTTTTAATTTTTCCTTCTGCCCAAAATCAATATTTCTTATCTAAACTCTGTGGCACATTGGTGTAGTGTTCCTTCCCTAGGATATTTTCTTTTAAATCTGTACATTGATATTCAAAACCAAATGCTATTTTTTCAGGAAATATCTTCTAGAAATGCAGTCAAGATGTCATATTTTAACAAAATAATGGCAATCATTTTCTCCAAAGTATATACATTTTGATTTCCCCATTTCTGATCTGCGTCATGCACAGAAGACATGCTCTCTGAAGTTTAAAATAAACAGCTAACTTCAGAGCTATCAGCTGTACAAAATTTGTCTTCTTAGTATATGGAATATTTTCTCTTAAAAGTAATGGAATGTGATGGCATTTAATACATCCCACGTTGTGAGAATAAAACTCAGAAAAACACCCGTTCCAGACTTGCAGGTCTATGAAAATTCTAAATGAGGTTCAAAGAAAAGCCTCACATACTCAGGAGACCCTCCTGCACATACCTCATCGCCTGTGAAATGCAATGGGAAGCTCCCGGCTGGGAATCAGTATTCCTGAATGGAGCGTTTCTACTGGTTGGTCGTCGGTTGCTACGATTTGGTATTTGCGAATGAGCTGAAACACAAACATTTCAGTTAGCCTGCTTTGGCTTCTACATCTTCTGATTAGGTGAGATGTTGAACAACCAGGCATCATGTACAGAATGACATTTTGGAGTATTTACCCAGCAAAGGGCCAAGTGAAGCTGCAGCTCTGCCACGCGGCGCCCGATGCACATCCTCTTCCCAATGCCGAATGGAACATGCGAAAAAGGATTTATTAAGTTCTTCTGAAACCAGCGCTCTGGTTTAAACTGAGTCCAGCCTTTAAAGTATTCTTCATTGCAACCCAGGGCATGGCTATTTATCATTAGTACGGTCTATAAACAAAGCAACAGAGAAATTTTCATAATTATAAATTGACTTAGAGTTACCAAGTGAATCAGCCAGTTAATGGAAAAAAATAATGCAACAGTAAAGGTGAGGCAGTTTGTTCAGATGTTGTGTAATTCTCTGAAGTTTAATTCAAACACAGAAAAGGTCATAGTTTCCTCAGAAAATCGTATGAAAGTTTGAATTTTTTTTTGAAACAGCACACCAAAATATTTTTGTCTAAATCCAACAGCAGTGCAGGCAGGTATGGTTTTCAGTTCATGGGAATTCTTGGGGTGAATTCCTGATTCCTTATCCTGGGACTCCGCCTTTGGCAAAGTCACTTTGAGTGTAATATGACCAACTTCAGTGGTTTACAGGACAGTTAATCAATAACAAAATATTCTAGTAAGCTAAATTAATTGACTTACCCCTTTGGGCAGCACATAATCACCCAGAACCATTTCTGTGTCAATGGTTCGAGTGGTAAATGGCACTGATGGTGTTAATCTACAGTGAAAGAAACAAAATGGGTTAAATTTCCAGCAGTTTTTCTTCCTCTATCTGTCATAGTTTAACCTTAAACAACAAGGTGAACAAAATTCTATATACTAGAAAACTCTTTCTCCCTAGTACACACTAGATGGTAAAAAAACTGTGACCATTTTGCTTTTTTGCAAATTATTTGAGAATTTTACCTCATGGATTCTTTCAAACATGCTTTTAGATAAGGCATGTTCTTCAAGCTTTCAGCACTTGGTCTTTCATTAGCAGCCAAAACACTCTGGATTTCCTGGAGAAGCTTCTGCTGAACATGTGGATTGCGTGAAATGTTATATAAAGCCCACAGTAAACTATTGGCCGTCTGCAACAAACCAAAAACAAACATAAGACTTTCCTTTGTGGTGACAGAAACAAGAAGTTGGCAAAAGTTCAAAGCAATATTGAGAGCTCGCCACTGCCTAATGGTATTTTGTAAACCTAAGGGATTATGAGCTGTTCCAGATGTTCTCTAGGAGTAACAAACAGAAGAAGAATCTAGTGATTTCAGGTAAAAATTCACTTAGGCCACCAAAGCAACTACAGGACTAGCTCCATCTCAGGTGTAATGATGGTTATGGAAGCAAGCAGGGAGTTGGAAGGAAGCTAATTTTAACAAGCTCTTGGAAAGTCAGGTGTACCGTTTCAACTCCAGCTATCTGGAGCTCTGTGATGGCAGCATAGAGCTCCTTCTTGGAAAGTTGTCCTCCAGAGTAGATGTCACAGAGGAAATCCTCCTGAGGGTTTGCAGAGTGCTTTTCCAGCCGACAGTCAATGGAGTGCTTGGCTGAGGAGGGAGGAGCAGGAGGCAATTAATGGAAAAACCCACAAAAAATATTACAAAAATAAGAGCAAACATTTGTCTCACATGCAGGATTTTGAAAGAAGATACCAAGCTGTGCTCCACTTTCAAGCAATGAGCTTTAGAATAAATAAGGGTATTTTCACTTTTCAGACAAAAAGAATCAGTCACAAAAATTATTTCTGAATAGAATTGAAAAAAATTCTGTTTTCTTAAATTAGGAAAGAAAATCAGTGATTTGTTGAGTGAAATATTTAGCAAACAAGTGTGTAAAATTTATTAGTTTGAATTTCCTAAGATCGAGGTGTTAAAAAATCAAAGACTCTTAGCACTCAGACTCCCCTAGGGGAAATTCAAGCCTTTGATTTACTAGCAGAAGGCAAAAATAGATGCAATCAGGCTTTTGTTGCATGTAAATTTCTTGTTCCTCAAGAAAACAACTGACTTTGATGTCCCTTTGAGGGAAGTCCCGTTTCTCATTCATATACCTTGCCTTTAAAGAGATTATACACTTTCTGACTATTTACTCCTACAACAGATTAAAGTGGACTCGTCATGTTGCTGGCTCCTAAATCTCTTAGGGCTTCTCTGGGGATTGGGTATTGCCCCACAACCAGACATAAGCGTTGGACATAAGACAACAGTGTTCTCATGCTTGGAATAGGTTTGTGGTTAGCTGCAGCAAAGGTGTCTCAATCTCCTGCTGCTGAAGGCAGTAATTATCAGCAGTGTAGGGCAGCAGCAAGTTTGAAGAAAGTTAACTCCAAGTAGGAAACAGAGATGAATGGAAAAGAAAGAAATTGTGTTTAAAACAATAACCTGTTTTAAATATATCATCCCATGCTTTAGTATGAGCTTGCCAGACTTTTGTGTTCAGACCCTTATGAAGTTCCACAGGGGTCACCATCATCATTCCAAAAGTAGCCATCATCTACGGTGGAGAAAGAGGTTTTGAAATCATTTTTTCATGTATCTACTCGTTGTCTCTGAACAAAATTAGACTGTAAAGTAAGAGACAATTTTCAGGAAGTCAAGACTGTGGCAGTTTTTCCATCTTGGACAGAAAGAACGGGTCTCAATCTACTTAGACTGTACCCAGATAAAAATGAGGGAGTGCCCATGGAGGGTAGGAGGCTTCTCCAGTGGGTGTTTCATCCTACCTATTTTAGGCACCTGCTTTAGAATGGAACAAGCCACCATTTGGCAGTGCCTCCCTCTCCCTTGACGACAGATAGAGCCAAAAAACTAGGCTAGGCTGGATGCCTATCTTTTAGAGGGCTAAAATTAGGTAGATATTTATCAACGGAGTCCAAGTTGCAGCAGGTGTGCTTGTAGGAATGACTAACTCCAAATCCAGTGTATCTGCATAATCCCACACAACTCCAAGGGTTCCACCCAACAAGCAGCAGTGTTGCACAAGTGTCTCAGAGGAAGAGGAAAGTTAACCAACTAAGCTGATAACTCTATTTCCAGGATGACCCTGATGTCCATAGAGCATTATTACCCCACAGATTTAGGCATTTCATAAATGAGACAGTCAGAGGTTCATTGCTAGCTCTGCACATATGTCGCTTCAGATGTGCGAGGCTGCCAATACACATGTAGCACTGAAGCTTAAATTTCTTTTTTTTTTCAGGTGACTCACTTACACTGGCACCCTTTAATTAGGAGTAGGGGTGGAAAATCACTACAGCCCCAGTCGAGACTCTTCCATACCGTTTTTACAGCCTTGATGAAGTTCAGACTTTCTTCTTCTACATCTTGCTGTAGAAGACCAAACCTCTTTCCATAGAGCACCAGGCAGATACCTGTTGTTAAGCAATATTACCATTAAAAGATGTATACAAAAGGGTGCATAGTGTCCACCATTTATTATTACAGAATGGCTTGGATTATCCCTGTGGAAAATGTTCTATGATACACATCCATAAGAGCAGCATTTCAAAACACCTTCTGCACATTTGCCTCAGACCCAAGTAGTAGTATATCTAGCTAAGGTGTCCTTACAATAGACTTTCTTCACTCATAAGAATCACCACTAATCCCCTCACGAGCATTAGATCATTCTGCCAAGCAAGGCTGGCACATTCGTCAAGGAAGCTATTAGGCAATGCTGCTGAAGAGCTCTGAGTTGCAGAAAAACCAAACCTGAAGAGGCCATCTACTCTAGCATCTCCAAGTTCTTTCTACAGCCAAAACCCACAGGTACACACTGGCAGCATCCCACACTCCACCAGCTTCCACCTCTTTCCACGTTTTTTGTTGTTGGTGGTGGGTTTTTTTAATAGCTGTCACTTCCTATTTCTTCCTTTCCAAAAGCAACCATCACCACTGACAGTGAAAAACAGAGACCACTTTCAGGAACTCAGTACACAGGTCGCTGAGATGAGCCAGCCAAGAGCAGACAGGTCTGGCAGAGCTCATTCAGTTACACACTACACTCGACCATCTCTCCTGTTGGGAACCACTGATGCAGTTTCTTTTGCCCTCAGTAATTTTTGGCAGATGGTTTCTTAGTGTACTCTGAAAGGTTTCTGAAGATGGAGGCTCCTGTCTTGGTAACTTATTCCTATGTTTCTCAATCCCAATGTAAACATTTTAGATGGAATTTTCCAACCCATGTCTACAAGGAATACCTCTTTAATGTTATTAGATAATTTAATTGATCTTGTGCTGCTGGTAATTAACAAATACCAGATGGACAAAAATGGTCACATGCTATCTGACTCCACTCTAGATAAATGCACTGTGTTTCCCCCAAGGTTTGCATTTATAAGTCACTATAATGTTTGAATTTTTTTCCTTGCCATATAGATAACCAGACAGAAGAGTTTGTACATCTGCTGCGGAATTTTGCACATGTACTGGTAGTCCCCTGGCTTTTCTGCAACCCACTTTCCATGATAATGCACTTGATAGTTTGGAAATAATCAGCCTACCCATTTATCAGTGATCATACTTTAACTGAGATGCTATAGCAGGTACAAAATGCATACCATTTTGAGGCAAAAACCAACTTACTTTCAAATGACCATTTGTTGAATTCTGAATAGACATCTTCCATTTGTCCATTGTGGTTACAAACATCATCTATTCTGTGCATGAAGTCCTCCAGGACCTAAGTGGTAGAGAGAAGAAAGAAAAGAATAGAATAAAATGGCATCAACTAAAAAAACCCCTGTGTAATTTAACATTTAAACTGTCTTTTAAATAGACAATAATCTGATGTAAGAGTGGAATACCTATCCTTCCTGTTCTTTGAACAAGGTTCAATTTCCCCCTGTGTTGAGTCCGGATTTTACATGACTCTTACGTTACTACTGCTTGTACTTCAGTGAACTGAGCTTTACTCCACAGGGATGAAATGCTTCAGTCTGACTCTGGGATAATACTGGAGTTTCACAATAAAGAGGATTAAGATGTTTGTCACAGATGCTCCTCAAACTCAGTGAGGAACACAGAGGTTAAAGAGGTAGGTGTGTTCCCTGGAGGAACATAAGAATAAAGCAGTAAAAGCAAAAAAAACCACCAAATGCAAGAAAAGTAAGCAAAACCTCTGTTTGTAGGAGCACGTATCATTGTGGAATCATCTTGTTGTCTGTGGAGACAGATAATCTCAACTGCAGGTTGCTGTGTAGTCTCACTTTTGGTAAGACCCTGATAATTAGTTTGTACTTATTACTCCCTCAGTGATTTCAGAGTATGAACTCAAGGTTTTACCACTGTAGAGCATATCAACAGCTCTCTAGGTAAACTGGATCGTTTGATCTGATTTTATTTCCCAGGTTTCCAGGGAAATGGGGATAGAGAAATAATATCTCAAAGCACAGTACCTCATTGATCATGGTATCCAGTTTTGCAACTTCCTTGGGTTTCATTAATTTCTTTTGAAAGGCACTTCTTACCCTCTGCCAGTCCTTTCCTTCCCTAAGAGTGAATTAAAACCAGCGAGGTTGAAAAGAGAACTAAAGGAAGAAAGAAAACAAACCAACCAACCAACCCGCGGCATGTGCAACAAGACATCAACGCGCCTTCATCGCACCGACGGGCGCAAACTTGTCGCCGAAGCCTCTTCTCGGGAGGGGACCGTGGCTGAAACCGGCTCCGGACAGCAGCTCCGGGCGGCCA